TTTGGTGTGGGTGTTTGTTTGTGTGTGTGCTGGGGGGGGGGCGTTGAGGAGGAAGAAGCCTTGTCAACTTGTCAAGACCTACCTGTCACATAAGTCATTGTTTTTAAAACTGTGGAAGTCAGCTGCCCCTCCCTCCTCCTCCAAGCTTTTCAAAGACTTAAGAACACTTTAAGTCCCCAGCTGCATATATTATGATGGCATCATCCACGTTTATTTAAAGTTCCTTCACACTCGTGATTCACAACTATTTTGCATAAATCCAGTTCCTCACAGAGTGCAGAGACCTGACAGAGAGCCTAAATCCTCATAAAGTGGGCTGAAGGCAGGTGGTCCCAGATGTTGACAGGCTTGCTAATAGTAACAGGGACTCCTGCTGAGTCAGCTGATATGTAAGGGCAGACCTGGAAAGACAGCTGAGGTAGGCTGGGGTCCAGGGTTTTGGGGTCCAGTCCTGGCCCTGCTATCAACTAACCTAATTGTGCTTTGTTAATTGTATTGACTTGACATGAGCTAGGGTCATCAGAGAAGAGGGAACCTCAATTGAGAAAATGCCTACATCAGATTGAATGTAGGCAAGTCTGTGGGGGCATCTCTGAACTAATGATTGATGTGAAAGGGGAGTGGAGAGACAACAACTCACTGGTCCTGGGCTGTACAAGAAAGCTAGCCGAACAAGTCATAGGGAGCAAGCTAGTAACCATAGTTCTTCCATGCCCTCTGATTCAATTCCTTCTCAAGTCCCTGCCCTGACTCCTGCATGAAGGGCTCTAAACTGTAAGCTGAAATAAATCCTTTCCTTCTCAGGTTACTTTTGGTCATCATGTTTATCACAGGAATAGAAAACAAACCAGGATATAGGTCACAACTTTTTGGAACCTGCTGGCTCTCAAGTTGTGGCCAGGAGCATCATCTTGTCCATCCACTTGGGAGTCCAGAGGAGATGGGGTGTTGAGGAGAGCTTGGTTCATTCCTTAAGGGTTGATGCTATTCTTACTCTATTAGCCAAAAGTTTGCAATAAACTAAATTAAGTTGAATCATAGGCTGTAAAAAAATTCAAATCAAACATCACCAAGCAATGTCTGATGCAGGGGTATCTTTCTCTCTTCCTCCCCCCACCAAGAAAAAATTTAAATTCTGCTAATGTATGACATATATTTAGTTGTGAATTACATACTAATCTCATTGAGTTTAAGATACAAAAGAATGTGTATCTCAGAACTGATGAAATAAGTGCCTTGTAATAATATTAGAAATATGTTAGAAATACATGTGTGTACTAATTGTTTTGGGCTCACTATGACCAAAAGGCTGATGGAAATAACTTAAAGGAGGATAGGTTGTTTTGGCCAAGGCTTCATTCACCTCTTTTATTCTTTGATGACACTGGGGAGTTAACCCAGGACCCCAAGTATGCCAGGCAATAACTCACCCACTGAGTTATTTCCCCAGTGACAGATTTGTTTTTGGCTTACCGTTGCAAAGAGATTTTGGTCCATTCTCTGAGGGAAGGCATGGTGGAACAGCTTCTTGGTGTCAGACATCACAAGGACTTGGAAGCAGGGAAGGAGTTGGGTAGGTGAGGGCTAGGGCTGGTCTTTAGTCTTCAGAAGTCTACCTCCACCATATAGGCCCCACCCTCTAAAAGCTGTGCAGCCCTAACCTCAGTACTCATTCACTGGTGAACACTAAAAACAGGACCCGAGGGTATTTTTCATATTCAAGCTGTAACAGTGTGATGTCAGATGCACAGGACGAAGACAGGCTGGCAGCTGGAGATGCTGAATGATCTGTCTTGCCGAAGGTAATCTATGGAGGCTTCTTGGGGAAAGCAACTTCTTTTTCTCTTTTTTAAATGACTGCTTTCCACATTGAGGGGCAGGGAGACTGTGTGATTCAAACCACAAGCACTGATGTGGTTGTCAACTGCAAGGAGTTCAATTTAGAAGAAGGGCAAAAGTGATTCTGGACACTTTGGGCCAGACGGGGAAAGGCCTACATGGCATTCTGTAGCCCTAGAATACTAGAGATATCAGCCCCAGAAGGCTGGGTTTCAGTGTGAATCAGGAACAAGAACCCTAATGCCACTGGCATCAAGATTGTGGTGTTTTGTTCAGTACGGTGGCCACTCATACTTGGTAATCCTTTAGATATTTCTAATGGTCATGTAAGATCCTTAGCATACTCTATTCCTTTCCAGGTGTCTTCATCTAGATCTCATTTATCTTCTGGATAATTGAGGCCAATGGACCCAGATATCTTTCTTTCCCTCTAAACTATTGTGTGTGTGTGTGTGTGTGTGTGTGTGTGTGTGTGTGTGTGAGAGAGAGAGAGAGAGAGAGAGAGGTATGTGTGTGAGTGTTGTGTGTGTGTGTTCATGCTGTGTACATACACATAGATGTGGAGACCACAGATCAATGTCAGATATCTCCCATGGTTACTCTCTACCTTTTTCGGAGGCAGGGTCTCTCACTGAACTGGAATCTCACAAGTTTGACCAGATAGGCTGACTAGTAAGCCTCAGGGATCATCTTGTCCCTGCTTCCTTGGTGGCCCTGGCCTTACAAAGGGGTTACTCCTCACCTGGTGTTTTGTTTGTTTGTCTTAATACGGGTGCTGAGGATTTGAACTTGGGTTCTCATGCTTACTGAGCCATTCCCCCAGTTCTTCCACCCATCTTTCTTACCACCTCAAACAAATCAACGTTTCCCTCCCATCGGTTCTGTCTTGTCCTACTGATGTGAATCCTTCACTTGTCTCTACATAGACTTTCAACAGAGAAGGGTTCTCAGCCCTATGAATACAATCTGTAGTTTCCTACAGGTACATTATGATTAAGTTTAATCTATAAATTAGGTAAGAGGTTAACTACAATAACTGAAAATAAACTAAAATACTTAATAACAATGACAGGGATAGGTCATGTGAACACTCCCCTCTCTAATCCCATTGTACTGCCTTTGCCGCTGTGATGGCCCAGGATAATGCCTGCCTGTGGTAAGGTGAATGACAGAGACTTATGACTTAGCATTAGGCACCTACATAAGGCCTCTTTACACCAGGTCTGCCATGTAGTAACATCTTTGGCTAAGGGAACTAATATACAACTAGAAACCTGGGCAAATGGCTGATTAATATCCTGGTAATGGTGCAAAGGGCCATTGCAAGAGTACACCACACTGAGATACTGCTGAAGAAATAAAAGGTCATGGTTGTCAGTGGCCATAGCTAGCAGACTGCTTGTTACTTGAGACAAAATTGTGCTTTTTGTGGTCCAAAGGCTAGTTTATTTACAGTTTTATAATAGTTTATAATGTATATATGTTACGATAAATCTTTCCGCCAAAAGCCGCTGAGCCCCACAGCCATGTGTGAGCTTTACGCTAGCTGCCTGCCTGAGTTAGGCCCAAATAAATACACAGAAACTTGTATTAGGTTGGCCAATGACAAGGATTCCTCATCTGTTAGCTCAGTCTCAATTATCATAAATCTATATATTTTATAAGACTTATTGGATGCCTTATTGGCGTCCCTCCTTGCCGGTGGCTCACATCCTGCCACTGGAGGATGCGAACGGGTAAAAAGAGACCCTTCCTGTTTCTCCTTCGCTTAAATATGAGTCTCCTTGCTATGTCACTTCCTGCCTGGATCAGAACTTCTCTACTACATTTACCAGAATCCTCTTTGACTCCTAGTTCCGTCTAACTTGCTGTTTCATTGGCCAAACAGTATTTTATTTAACAATCAATAAGATAAACATACACAGTGGTACTTTCCCCATCATATATAACATGAAAACTTTCTGAAATGATATTTTGGGGAAAGAGGCCAGAAGGCTCTAAGACAGAGCTCTGCTTGGCTACTGGGCAGGAACTCCACAGGGTTTGATTGCATTGAGAGCTGAGTCTTGTTTGGACAAAAGTCCTTGCCACTGGTCTGTCCCACTATAAATGGTGCTATATCCAAAGCCAAAGCCTGAGGAGGCTTCACTATGACCCTCCATAAGTAAAGATGCTGAGTTTCCTGTAGACGATGGACTCTTTGTGGTGATTGGTACACGCTTGTGTTCTCCACTGTATTTCATTGACGCACAGTTAAATATCTATTCAAGCATGGCCTTGGGCTCAGGGCCTTGTGAACTTGGAGTTATAAGTCAGATTATGGTGAGGTTGAGGAAGTTCCCAGCTGTCCACAGTCCTCTACGGCAGAAAACACTGTTTCCATTTCACTGATAATGTGCTGTGGAGAATAGGAATGGGTCTGGGGTCATGTTTGTGGTTAGCTCTGCCCTGGATTGTAGAAGAGGAGCTGGTGTGCTGGCTAGGCAGATGTTTAAGGGCAGGGAGTTCTGCAAGAACCCCAGCAAAGGTTTCTTTTCTTCTTCTTTCTCTGTTTCTGCCTCTTCCTCTGTGTATATCTCTGTCTCTGAGTCATAGGCTCCTCACCATTTTCTTTGCCTTCCTATTTGCCTCTCATCCTGTCCTTCCTGCTCTCTGTAGATACTGTTAGGAAGGGATGCAGGGGGAAACAGGAAGACAGATGCTTGTGAGGCCATTGGAACTATAGCTTGGGATGTGGCCATTTTGAAAAGAATGAACTTAACTCTGACATCAGTATGTTGCCAACCAAAGTTATACAGATCTCTGAGTGACTTTGGGGGTGACATGGCAGGTAAAAA